CTTTTTTAGATTTTTTCTCTCTACTTAGAATATTTTCTCTCCTAGATTCTGTCTCTCTCTTAAACTTTTGTTCTTAATTACTTTCATTAATTCCAGATTCGTTTGGTAACTATTTCTCTTCTCTTAATCTTAGTTATTTACTTTATCCCTTTGATTATGTCTTGCTTTATTGCTTTGATTAGTTTAGTTTCTATTATGTGTGGGTAGTTTTCTTTCTAGGGTTTATAGGGATCCATAAATAATATGAAGGAGTGATTTATTGTTGTTGATTGTCAATACTAGATTAATTTCCTATTGATTGATTTAATGCTTTGTGACTAGATTAGGCCTGACCTTTTATGCATGAGTTTGACAATATTGATTCGAGATTCGACATATGAGAATTGATGTTTAGGTCTAGTTTCAATAGGCAGATTAATTTATAAATGGTTAAGTCGAGATTCGAGAGATGAGATTTAATACCGGTAGATTAATTCTGTGATTGTAATACGTAGCGAAAGCCCTTTAAGATCTAGTTAATTGATGCATTGATAATTGACTATTATTGATTTTTGATATTGCATGATAATTTCTTATTGAATTGTTTTAACGCTTTACAATTATGGCTTGTAAAAGTATAGCAATATTGAATTGATGAATCGAGCATATGTTAATTTGATATTAAAGGCTATTTTCAATAGGAACTTAGATCTAGTAAATTGCGAGAGCCTGTTAGATCTATTTTGATTAATAAATTGCGAGAGCCTGTTAATCATGTTATTTATGCAATGTCAATGATTGATTATTATGTTTTACCCCGGAGTATTATTTATTGGTGAACCTATGCCCTAGATCCTTTTATATTATTTTCTCCTTATTCTTAATCTCCGTAGTTTAGTTTATTATTCAAATATAAATATTGGTTACTTCATAATCTAGATTATATTAGTTAATTAGGAATAGAAAGACTTGTTTCCCTGTGGAGTTCGACCCTACTTCCCTATCTACTTTAGTTAGAGTACTTAGGTATTAACTTTTATTAGGGGATACGACTTTACCCTGTCATTTATAAATCAAAGATCCCATGTTTGTGGATGTTGATTTTGAGATTTATATGCATGAGGAGTAGCATCCTCAAGGGTTTTTATGCACTTTTCGGAATTGAATTTGAGTTAGAAATGAAGTTAAACGATGTTTTACAAAGTGGCAAAACAGACCTTTGGTCACTCTTTTGACCATACTTCTACATATCGGATTGAAGCGATTCAAATTGAGTTGGAAACTAGACTTAAAGAGATTTCCAATGATAGGTTGCACGCCTCAAGAGAATTCCTAGAACATAAGTTATAGATGTTTGAATCTAAGCAATGTAGTCAGCCACCCGCGGGATGTTGTTGCGCCCCTGTCCCGCGACCACTCGACACCAGCCGTAGCTACTGCCAACCCGCGGCCACCAGCCTGCGCCCGCAGGTTCTGGCGAGCCAAAGAAGCCCATGAGGTGCTCGTGTTGTCGACTTTGCTTGCGGTTTTATGCCACTTCATCTTTTATCATCCAATAATAATTCAACCTATGTAATCTTTATTTTCTTAATTATTTTCTTTATTTATTTTTAGATTAGTTTTAGGATAATATAAATACTCAAGGGATATTATTTTTTCCTCATGCCTTTTTTATCTTTTATTATTTTACGTTCTTTTGAGTTTTCTCTCTAGCCCTAGTTTTTCATGGACAAATCTATGGATTCTTCCATGCTTGAATTTGTTACTTTTATTCTGAGGTAATTTTATTTCTTTACTTTAATTATGTTTTCTTTATTAGATCTAGTTTTAATTATTTCTTTCATGTTTGAGTAGTTTTATTTCTAGGGTTTGGGAATCCATGTTTATACAATGAATCTTGATTGATGTTTTTAATATTTTGATTATTAATTTCTCTAATTGATAGTGCTTTATTGTTAATCTTGCAACCTGATCAATTGTTTGATTAATTCATGTTAATAAGAGTTTGAATCGAAAGATCTTACTTTTAGAGGCTTCCCTACAATTAGCAATTCTAATTATGTTGGCGACCGTACTGCATATGTTGAATTGAGAGCGATAAGACTCGATCGTAGGCTTAGCAATTGCTCTAGATAGTTGATTGATTGAATTGTTATTGATATTTGATAGATTTAGAGCTATAAACATGGTGAACCATAACTCTAGATCTTTTTATTAATTGTTTTATTCCTATTTTAATTTAGACTATTTTTCTATCCCAATTTCGTGACATAGTTTAGTTTCTCCATACCTTAGAAGTTAGATTGAATAACCATCTCTTTGTGGATTCGACCCTACTTACCCTATTACATTGTTAGTTGGTTTTGTTAGGAATTTATTTTTGACAGGTGTACAACAACCTATCAACAACATTAATAGTGTGCAAATATTTTTAACTTAAATGATTTTTAAATACAATAAATTTATCCAAGTCTGTTCAGTAAAATGACTAGCAAAATGAGTATTATTTTATTATTTTATTTCTTGCTTTTATCTGATAGTCTATCCCTTAAATGTCTTTATTAGGGGTGCTTATGGTGCGAGTCGAGTTTGAGTTCAAGGTATTGCGACTCGACTCGTTAACATATTGAGTCGCGCTTTATATAGTCGAGTTTTGATCGAGCTTTGACCGAGTCCAGTTTTGTTCGAATCGAGTTGATCTCGATTATTTTTCAATTTGAACCGTCTTTAGTAAAACTCCCTATTTACTATAACATCTCTTCATTCTCTGTAATTTTGTCATTTGAGAAGTATATAACGGGGTTCTGAATCAATTGATACTATGGTCACTAGACAAAGTAATCAAATATGAGGAGAAGTAAATTCTTTAAATATAAAATTTACTAATGTAATATACAGCAAACCTACTGATGCTTAATTCTACCTTCTGTTTTTTTTTTGGTTTTAGTGTAGAATAGAAATACTTAAACAAAAGCTAATTTTTTAGCAAAGATAAAAATAACAACAATACTTGAACTTAAAATATTTTTTTGTATTTTTTTATAGAAATTAAAGATAGTAACAATACTTAAATAAAATAAGAACTTAATTATATGATACTTTTATAAGCTAATAACTTAAAAATAAAGCTAAATTAGAGAGATTTTAAGTTGGGGGAGGGGGGGCTAGTAAAGTATAAAATAAATTATAAACGAAATATGAAGAATCTTGTCAGTAAATTTGAAGGGGAATAAATTTGAAGGGGATAGTCTTTCACGTATTGCGTGCGCCTCTAAACTCGCAGTCTTAATATGGTTACATAATTTTTAATGTAAATTTTTTACTCTTAACTACTACACTATTTTGAATATGTTGTTGGTTTATGTGCCATCATCAATGATAATTGTCTATTTATTGTTTTATTTAAGTTATTGTCCAAACAATCAAGTATAGTGTGCAGTAGCATCTACTTTGTATTTTCTTATTTTAAAAACCAATTTCGTACTTTATGGATTTAAAAACGAAAGAATTCCCGGTGACACTTGTTAAGAGTTCATGCTCACACTTGTAATGGTTACACGACTGATCTTGTATTTTTTTTTGACACGAATATTGTACTATTTTAGCGGTGTTGAAAAACTTGTTACAAAAATAATAATAAATAATAATACGAAAGATTGCCCGGTGTGTGTATAACATTGTCAATTTGAAACGCGTAACTCGTGATTCGACTAGGGGTGCCTATTCGGTTTTGGGTCCGAAATAAAATTCGGTAATTGATTTTTAAATCCAATCCGATTAGAATTTCTCATGAATCCGATACAATCTGAATCAAAATTCGGTTATTAGGTTCCAATCCGAATTTAAATACATTATAAATTTTTAGGGAGTTAAGTGATAATAAAAATAAAATTGCAATTATAAAAAGCCTAGTCTTAAATTCATAGTTCTTATGATTAATACAAATATTAAAAACATAATTTATATTAATGTAATTATAAACAAAATTTTACATGATTAATATAATGTATCCTTATTTGTAAAAGCATGATTTCACATTTCGGTTAATTTGGGTTTTTGGATTAGAACAAGGTCAATCCGATCCGATCCGATCCGAAAATCAGAATTTTCAAAAAATTTCAACCCGATCCCATCCGATTTAAAGTTTGGATCCGATCCAAATTAATAATTCGGCTTACATTGGATTGGATTTTGGTTTTTTTTTTTTCGAATAATTGACACCCCTGAATTCGACTAAAAATAAAATGTGAAAAACTAACTTTCTATTCCGGGATTGTTCTTATTTGAGTACGAAGTCCATAAATACTACGAGTACGGAGTAACACCTAAAATCATCATACATCAACCAAAACACAACCCTTTCTTGGGAAACGATTTGTTTTTTTCCCCTATACTCACATGTAAATAATTACAACATCGTTTTGATTGGTCCATTTATGGGGCTACTTCAGTTTTTTTTTTGCCTTAAATAACGTTGTGGGTCCCGCTCATTACTTTTATTCTCTGTCTTCTTCATTTCCTCTCTTCTGTAATTAATCCTCTGTAATTCTCCTTTCGCACTACTACAAAAAGCGTGTCTTCTAGACGCATTTTAGGCCTTTTATCAACGCTAAAAAGCGTTCTCGACGCTGCTAAAAAGCGTTGAAAATTTTCAGGGACATAAGAAAGCGTCGAGAATATCGACGCTTTTTTGTGTCCTAACTAATATACGAAGCGTCGTAAATTATGTATTTCGCGCATTGTCCAAAATGAGTAAAGTTTTTTAGCGACGCTTTTACCAGTCCTCATACTCAAATTTAGCGACGCTTTTTGTTGTCTTGCGTTTATTTGTGTCGGCCTATGGTATGGCGGGAAACTCTTTGAAATTTGAAAATGTGCAAATATGTAGACATTAAAAAGCGTCTAGAATTTATTTTAAGCTTTTTTTTTTTTCCTTTTATTAAATTATTACCATCATACATACACTAAAGTTATATAAATTTATCATAAATTTAATTAAATTAATAACATTAAAATAAAAATAAACAAATATTCTATATAACTAGATTAAAAATAAAAAACAACAATTAATCAACATTAATAAGTGTACGTAGTTAATTACCAAATTTATAAAAGAAAACATCAACACAATTATTAAAAAAAAACGTCGCATATTATAGTAGCTTGTCCCTAAATAAATACATCGCTAATATAAGACTAAAAACCAAAATAAATAGATGACGGCCTTAGATATATTCTCTTGTTGATGCTCAAGTGTCCCGACCTATTCTGTTGTTGCTCCTACATTGCCTTTTCCAATCTTCACAAAAAAAAAAAAAAAAAAAAAAAGTATAAATTAGTACATTACACAATATATATAGGCTCAATATTCATAATCGATTTGAGACAAATATACAGACATTATACTTTAATCTGGGTCCAATTAATTATGTACAATGCACATATATAAATCTGTAAATTAAAAAACCTAAAAGGGAGCACATTATATTAGATCATAGAGTAACTGATGGAAAAAGATAGCCACTCAGAGTACTTATGAAGTAATACAAATATACTGCAGATAACTTGACAGTTACTTACTGACTTAGAGTGATAATACTCTTTATATGGCACTTATCCCAGAATGCTGACTGGTAGTTAGGAAATTTTCAGTAGTCTGAGGTTAGCAAAAGGAGCTACTGGATTAAACCATCAACAGAAGACTAGGGAGCCATATCAGGAATTTCAGTAGCATAAATGTCAAAGAAGTTTGCTGGAGGGTAAGTAAAAGGGACACATTCTCCTGCTTTGAACTTTGTTCTCCCATAAAAGCAAGCTTATCAGCTACAACAGTAATTTTAGTTAGTGCATCATAACAGCATTATGTCTTCAAATGATCCTTTGGATCCTTGAGCATCTTAGTTAGTGCATCAGCATATGTAAATTAGGCCTCATAACAGCAGTAATTTTATAAATGAGCAGCAGTAAAAATGGGAGTAATTTTATAAATGAGTAGCAGTAAGTGCTAGTCACATTGAATATGCTCAAAATTAATAAAGATCAAGTAGGCAAAGATCATCTACCAGTCCCAACTAACAGTCCAATTCAGTCAATATTCCAATGAATAACACCTAATTATAACCCAATCCCAATACCAGAACTTATTAGATTACAAAGTAATTATTGCTATATTAACATGTAAAGTGTATCTCAGTAATCTCACTAAGCAATAAATTGAATACAAACATGTAAAACGCAGTAAGTACACTACAGAACATTGAATATTATAGTGGGTCAGATACAGTGCTGAAGCTTCAATTAATAGCATCCAGCAGCTAGGAAACATTAGAGGGTGGGCCTAAAGATACCTGTTGCTGAAGGCCTATATTTCGTATGCAACCATAATCAAATGCCATTTTCTGATTGCAAGCATTAGTGCTAATCACAATATTAAGCACGGAATGAATATACCAAATGCTGCAAAAGGACATCTTGCACAACAGAATAAACATGCAATTTCCTTCACTATTCACTACATTTTCTCAGGATTATAAGCAATAGTTCTAGAATTTAAGGATTCTATCAGAGCAATAGGATTAAACAGATGAGATGCATATCTTTACATGTATGAAAACCAAAGACAATTTAGTGTTTAAATGGTCAGAACTTGAATCACAGCCCAATAGTGGAGAGCCTAGTGGCCCAGCCATTAGTTACATTTCTCTCACAAGCCATCTATGGGTGAAAAACAAACGTAGCATCTCACAAGCCATCTTTTGTGAAAAACAAATGCAGCAAAGGTAATTTGAACAGACGGTAAAAAATTGCCTGTTTAAGCATGAATGAGAATCCTATTCGTTGTGCCCTTGTGTTGGTGCATGTGAAAAAGTAGTAGTAGAAATATTAAGTTCAATTAAAATTATGAACAAGACAAACCTTTTACAAGCACAGGAATTAAAAAATTAAGCTATGTCTGGCACCCTGGCACATTGAATATGCTAAGTCATGCCCAGTAACTGAAAGCAACTATATTGATTAAAATTGATACTTACATGTTAGATGTGCTCTTAAGAGTGTTAACTAATGTTGATTAAAATTTTAGCCTCATGCTTCCCTCCAAACATCATAGAGTTGTTTAAACATTATGCATATCATTTATGACGAGTTATTTAACAGTGTTGTTCCACCTTAGAAGTAAACTTTCTGCACATAAATTTTTGTCAATTATGTAAATTTCATACATTTCTGTCAATCTGTCAACGTGTCTACTATTTGGAATTATTTTTACCCTGCTAAAATAATTTACCACAGATAAAGTACCATAATTACTATTTTATCAACAAAATTAGTAGTTTATACCAACTGGAAAATTTATACTAGGTTGAATTTCTCTTACCCTTCAGAACAAAAAACCTCCTTTATGCTTTCAGGTGATCTACCTCTACATACACATTGTTTAACATCCAAGAGCTGCTAATTAAAACATTGATAGGAAACACCTATCAGCTAAGCTTATCTTAAGGACAGTGTAATCACACAAGGCAAATTCAACTAGGAATCTTACTACTAGCATAATCCCACCTTGTTTGTGTAATACACAAGAAGATAGGTGGTCATATTCTGATATAGGGTTCTCACCCTTCAGAGTGATACTATTTGGCTTAAATAATTATTTGACAGAGATACTAGATGCCCACAAGCCATTGTTTTGACCTCAAAATTCATAATGTCATCAAAGGAATATTAGATGAGCAATATAGGAAGAGCATAGTGGCATTATCAAAATTAGAATAATACAATGATCTAAACTAAACAAAAATGTAAGAAATACAAAAAAACCTCCAGCTTCGTGCAAGGGATAACATTTAATCAACAATTATCAATTTCAACTAAAACCAAAAAATTCATATCAAAAACCAGAAAATTCAAAGCCTATAACATTCATATCAAAAACCAGAAATTTCATATCAAAAACCAGAAAATTCAAAGCCAATATTATTCATATCATAAACCCATAAAATTCTAAACTAAAAACCTAAAAAACGCCATAAAAATCATAACAAAAACCAATAAACTCCTTTAAAAAATAAAAAAAAAGAGTGAAAACTTGGATTTGAAAACAGAATTCACGAAAAAACCAACATAAAAAGAAATAAAATTATCTAATTAAGGGCAAAAATTTACCTCGCAATAAGATCGAGATCGATTCTTGTTCTACACCAACTCAAAATAGAAGACATGCAAAGAAATAATTCCCAATTTTAACGAAAATTTAGAGAATTGTGATATATTAGGTACCAAAAACGATATATATATACCTAGAAACAATATTGTGTAGCAAACTGTAAGTTAATACCTCAAATTTATGAAAGTGACGAACCAAAAACCCCTCCTTGAAGTTTAGCAAGCAAAACCCAGATTTTAACCAAAAAGGAATTTTTTTTTTGTTGCTGATGATGGAGTTAGGTTTAGAGGAGAGCAGAATAGCTTAGTATGGATAGGCGGTTTAATTGGGAATTTGTGAACCTGATTTGAGTGAGGGTCAAAATTGCGGGCAGCCATACTCACGTGCATAGCACCTGATTTCCCGACACTTTTAAGTGTGGAGAAAAATCTTTGACCAGAAAAAGCGTCTAAAGACGGTACCAAAATACATAGGCTGACGCCACACCAACAACGTCGAACCAAAAGCGTCCAAAAAGCACGCCTTTTGTAGTAGTGTTCTCACACTCCAAAAAATGGCAAGTGGAAGCCAAATCAGTGCAACATCAAGACTTTTCAACCCACCGTCTTGGAAGCCTAATCCAACAAAAAATTCAGCCGAAAACCTTGCTAGCTTCGACGCCTACTTCGTCTTCTTGATGGCTGATATCAACTCCTATCGTGTTTACCTTGAAGGGAAGGAGATGTCGAATGTCGTCCTCTCTGATAGCGAAGAAGAAGTCGATCAGATGGATGGTGTAGAAGAAGAAGAAGGCGATGATGAAGCTGACAACGACAACGGTGATGATGATAACCAGGAGGGTGGGGATCAGGACAACCAGGAGGAGGAAGGTGAAGATAACCAGGGAGAGTGGGATATGAGAATGATGACAGTGGGCAAGAATGGAACTACGCCGATGACAGTTGGTATGAGTCTGACCTTGAAGTGGACTCCGATGACTACGATACTGACAACGCTAACAGCACAAGCAGCCAGTATTGGGGCGACCGTTACCTCTAGTTTCCAGATCACTCAGAAAGTTAGGGTTTTCTGTTTTTGATAATTGTCTATTGGTTTTTAATTATTTGGGTTTGTGTGAAGCCCTATGAGGGGTTGTAGTTGGTTAATTGAACTTAGATTTGTGTAAATTAGTTGTTTAGATTTTTTGTTCCCTAACAATGTCTTGATCCTGTTGAATTTTGGAAGAAAATAACCGTTATTTGGTGTTGTAACTTAATTCAACTACTTTATCTAAATTAAATAGGGTCACTTAGAATGTAAGCACCTTTGTAGTTGTTTACCTCTTTTGGATGTTGATATTAATTTATCTAGGGTATGCTATTCTTAGTGTTTGTAGGTTTCCATTTAGGTATGATAGGGAGAGTGGAATGTTTAATTATGGTTGATTTCTGTCTCATTGTATGTCATTGAAGGAATAAATAGAGTATTATGTGGGGTTTGTCTGATTTAGTTTATTGCCATCCATAGTAGAACTGGTGTACCATATGTGTGTTTCATTAGTCTGTGTGTTGTATAGTCAGATTTGGTTATGAAGTGAAGTGAACTAGCATTGTTTGATAGACCCTATAAGTCCTAAAATATGTATTAACCCTTGATTCTGCTATCACAATCACACCTAAATGGATTCTATGGATGAATGGAATGGAATGGAATGGATTTGCTAATCAGTGATTCTGAATTGCAATCTATTAACCTCTATCTAGATTACATGAAACATAATTTCCTTGAATATGATCAAGTACCAAAAATTATTCCAAACAACTGACCATCTTCTCAACTTAATCCAAATAACTTACTAGTTAACTTAGAATAAACAAATTCATAAGGGCTAGTTAGTCATATTAGTTTAATCAAGAAATTTGGCCTACTACACATGTTAAATTATATATGTTAAGCCCTCATTCTTTGGGTTTGTGTGCAGCCCTAGGTAGGTTGTGGCTTGGTTAGTTGTTCTTTGATTAGTGTAAATAAGTTATTTGTTTCTATCTCATCTTCATCTAACCTGGTGTAATTTAGTTGGAAGGGACTGATGTGCTTACAAAATAGAAACTATTTGGAAGGGACTAATGTGATGTTTGGTTTTTTTTTTTTTTCTTTTTTGGGTGTTTAGTTGGTATGATCAATAGCTGTTGTAATGGAATAATGATTCCTTCACAACACCCCTTGACTTGATCAATATATATCTAGTAGATCAATATTTGTGTAACACCTAAAAACATTGACATAACATTCTAGACTATATCTTTACCTTTACTCAACAAATTCCTTATCAAAAACGCATTTAACTCTAGCTATATACACTTTGACTGCCATGCAACTGATTTAGGATTCAATTTCACACTGATGATGCTTATTCAATTCCTATATATACACTCAATGCAGGCCTCTATGCAGCTGACACTAAGGAAGTAGACTATCTGGATAGGGAAGCCAAATAAACTCTTTACCCCCTTTTGAAGGTCTTATTGGAAGTTTATGGATGTAAATATGCAGACTATTTCTTGTGTATATGCTCTACTTATGTAAGTAAGTTTAAACAATTATTTAAGTCTTTGGTAGTAGTTTGAATCTTTTGTGGATAACTGTATAATGCTCTATGGGGGCTTAACTTTGGAAGGTATGTAATTATTTAACCTATCTTTTGATGCCTTTTAAGGCTTAATCTAATCTTTTGATGCCTTTTAGGGCTACATCTAATCTTTTGATCCCTTTTAGAGCTTAATCTAATCATATTTACCAAAATCTTTGAAAATAACTAATAAAACCATAATAGGTAGTCAAAATATGTAGATAAACATGCTAATCCAGACATAAGTAGCACATGTAGGAATACATCCCACAAATTAGAACATAGCTGCCCAAGACACCAATTGAGCTTAGTTAATACATTGAATAGAGTTTTATAGGTCCATAGCAAAACATAGTTATCATAGAAATTAAACAACAGTAGCAGGTTAACAGCATAATATAATTAAACATAGTCATCATAGAAATTCCTGGTATATAGGGATAGTTGTGTGCACACCATACCTCGTAGCCTTCAAGCTCCATCTCCAGTTTAGGCCACTACAGCTAACATCTCTCCAGCTCCTTTCACTTCCCCAGAAGGTCCTTCACCCCCAGCTGCCTTATCAGCTCCCTGTGCAGGGGTTTCCTTTGCAGCCTGTCAAATTATGCCAATAAATATGATAAATAGAGTAAACTTAGGATATGCATACAAAAAGATTAACATTGTATGTGATTTTACCTTAAGGGTTCCTAACATCCTAAGAGGGCTCTCAACATCAGCACACACAAGCATCTCATCAGATTCAACCCTGCTCTGGTCCCATATTATAGCAAACCCACCACTCAGCCCTACACTCTCATCAAATGTCCAATTCATATCACCCTCAATTGCCTCCACAACCTGCTCAAAAGACTTCTTACCCACCCTAGTCTCAGAAATGATGACAATCATTGGCTTGTGGACTTATCCTAAGGACATGTCGCTTAAAGGATGGCCTAGTAATGCCACGCGCATTCCACAACACAACAGATGAACCTAACTCAAAAGGCTTTTCATTACTAACATAACTTGTTTCAATGCTCACATCGATGGACCTAAGGAAGGGGTCGACCTTGTAGTTTCCCAAACAAGCAACAACATCGATAGAACTAATTTTAGCATGCAGATAAAAGATTTGCAAACCATTAGAGTAACAAGCAAGTTCAGTTCTTGTTTTCTGAATTTCAAGTGGGTAAATAAGGCCCTTGATGTCTAATTCAGGGATTAGATCAATTATTTTAACCAGAAAATAGGGCATTATCTCACTAATCTTAGAGGTGTCGTAAATGACTTCAGGATTATCACCATATAGTTCCTTAAACGCATCAACTAAGTTAATCATACCAACAATATAAACTAAATTAAGGAGATGGGCTGGAACAAATTCACCTAAGGGGCCAACCATGACCATTCCATCCAGTTCCTCACTTAGGGGACTATCTGCACTACGAATGATGTCCCTTATAGTCCTGTCGCTGAGAATATCTCTTGTTCCGTTTGCCTTATTCCCAGTAAAGTACATGAATCTGTTGAAATCCATTTCTGGAGTTCCAGCCTTCCTAGTTTGCCGACAAATTGTTTTGGCTTTGGTTGCAACAAGATAGCAACCAGTTGGGTAAGTTGGGTTTTCAAGGTCAAAGTTTGGGTTTGCCATGGTAATAATACTTTGATTTTGCTTTAGTTGGGTACTCTAGGTTATCATCTGTGTGGAAAATATTTGTTAAGAGTCTTATATAGAGATGTCCATTTAATTACTAGGTGTCCATCATCTTTCTTTTGAAACTGACAAGGTCATCAAACACAAATGGATAAAAACTTCATGTCCATTGCATTCAAAGTAGCGCAAAAACATTATTCAAATTTTAAAAAAAAAATGAAATTTTGGCAGAACAAGTACTACTTCAAGTCCTACTAACTTTGCAGATCAGCTTATTGTCAAGAATTGCAGTAAAAGTGTTGATTTCATTTTCTCAAAAACCCATTTTACATTATGGCCATGTTTGGTAATTGGCTTTTTAATGGCTTTTTGGTTTTTGGCTTTTTTAGGTGGTCAAATAGCCAAAAAATGTGTTTGGTAATTGGCTTTTTAATCAGAGAAAAAGCTGGCTTTTAAGCCAAAATGAAAAAGCTGCTTTGAGTAGCTTTTTTGTTGGCTTTTGGCTTGTTGGCCCACAAATTATCTAATAAACAGCCAACAACCAACAATTAATTTACCAAACACATTTACAAACAGCCAATTTCAAAAGCCATTATAAACAGCCAAACATTCCAGCTAGTCAAACAAGCCAAGTGAACCAGCCAACAACCAACCGCCAACATCCATTTGCCAAACAAGGCCTATGAGTTGTCAAGTCATAACTTTTGTAAATTGAAGAAGAGCATTAGCAGACTGTAAGCATGTACCCTGTGGCGGAAAATCTGTAGGAAAAATTTTCTGACACATTAAAAAGCCAAGTCTATCTTTTGAAGATTTTGTATGATATTTAAAGTGAATTACCTAACTCAATTTATAGACAATGTCCAGTGCATATCATCAGTAGTTATGGGTTTTCGTAATTATGTTTCCCTTCACATTTTTTTTAGTTTATAAAATGTTGATGTACAAATCAACGGTGATGGTAAAATGATAAACTTACACATCCTCAATACGTGTAAATGAAGTAATTTTAGTTCTATACCATTTGATTTTTTTTATTAATAATTTTTTTTTAAAAAAATGAGACTTCAGATTGATCATGTTAATTATAGAATAACAGTAAA